TTCCAGTTCCGTTGAGAAGCTTGGCCAATCCTGTGGGTTCCTTAGCATTGTTATTATTTCCTTACAATCCGTCCCAAAGCTCTGACATGGCGAATGTTGAAGCATGTTCTCCATTGCCCACCGCAGTGCTTCCAGCTCAGAGTGCAAAGCAGACTCCACTCTAGCAAAGTTACGAATTCTCATCAGTTGACTGTTTCCAAAACTATCCTGCCATACCCATCCACATCCATTGAACGGAGTTGTAGAGGTCCAAGAATCATCCAGCAGACAAAAACTCCCCAGACTTATGATCTGATTTTCACCATTCGCGTCTACTTGAGAGGTCAGAGGAGTCTGCTCATTGGCTTGAAACCAGGCCTGACATTCACTCTCTGCATATCTTGCTGTCTCCAATGGGTCTCTATCAATCCCTTTAAATAGTTTGTCATTTCGAGCCTTCCAAATATACCATATAATCCATGGATAAGGATCCATGTCTACTATAGGTCCTCCTATTGCATTCTTCCTCCAAAAGAGGTAGTCCATGTTCGCATATGTGCTCTCTAGTGGAAATAGAGAAGGACTAGTAGGTAGTGATGATAATGCCCAGACTTGCTTTGCAGGAGGGCATAGGAAAATGGCGTGTGTGATTGATTCATCCGGTTCACCACAACGTGGACAGTAATTGTCACACCTTATGTGTCTATAGTTTAGGGTGCTCGTAACAGCCATATGACATGTTATTATCTGGCACATAAGATGGCACATCTTTTGTGGAGCCCGCACCTTCCAAACTTGCGCCTGTAGTTTAGTAATACTAGGTTCCCTAACTACAGGCATTTCTTCCCGGTTTAATATATTCTGTGCCACCCAATATCCAGACTTGACTGTATATTGTCCATTCCTTGTATAGCTCCAGCAATATATATCTCTACGATGTGTCGAGCTAATAGACATACTCTTTATGAGAGGTATATCGATAGCGTTGACATATTGTTCCAGTCTTGTCACGTCCCACGTCTGTCTCTTGATTAATAAGATCACTTACTCTCATGTTAGGATGTAAAACCGGTACAGATGGGAACGCCGGTCTCGCTGGTATAGTAGGAATCCAAGGGTCCTCCCATACTTTCACCTCATATCCTGAATGGATCTTCTGTCTTATTCCCAATAACAACAATTCTCGTGACGCCGAAATACTTGTCCACACATATGATGGGTTGTTAGTAGAAAGCTGACGCAATGGCACTACATTATTGTCAAGCACACTCTGTACTCTACTACATCATCAATTAATCTTCATTTTCCGTCGTTGATCATAGCATAATCTTTCTATTTCTAGCTTACTTGTTGACTAAGCTTCTTGAAACAAAAATCTTATTTCTGAATGAATTGTAAGATTTATCAGTAAGAATATGCAGGGCTCGTGAGGCAACTCAGGAAGCTGTTCTTCTTTCATTGTGCACAAGAAATTTTACATCAAAAGTCTTCATCTTTGCTTGGCTACCGGCGAGCAAAAGCCGTGAAAGCAAAACATAGAGCAATTGATTCCCGTAAGATGAAGAGACCAACGCCAAACAAGAGTGAAAACCAAAACCGAAGTAAACCAAGAAACCAGCCTAGAAATGAAGAGATGAAAGATACGAGCAAGAAGAGAGTAGGCAGAGCCGGTGCAGCAAAACCTCGGGCCAGGTCGAAGAACTCGTTCAAGAGAAAAGGCCGGTAAGTAATCTTTATTTTTAGTCACCAATTCTTAGATTAATAATTTGTTGGTTAAAATTTTTATTATGTACTCAATCATAATAACATTTCCAAAATATATTTTATAACTCTAAATAGGAAGTGTTTAACTATCAAAAAAGGAATTCTAAAATTTCAAATTTTGAGTTGTGAAACTTCAAATATAGAATGTCACTATTCAAAATTTTAAATTTTAAATTTCATAATTTATTTGCATTTTCCTTCTTACAATTACACATCATATTTATAATTCTTATATATTTTGTTGCTTATCGTATAAATCCTTAAAATTCTTATTTCATAAATATTTCAAAATTGTTATACATAATTTTTTTTTTAAAAAACATCAAATAAAGATTTAAAATATTTTAAAATTAGAACTATACAACAACAATATGACAAAACTTAATGTGATTTTTTGTTTGTAGTTTAAATTTAATCATATGTTTCTATTTGTAATTTATATTTTAGTATAACATTTTGTCAATTAATATAAATGTAATTTTTTATATATGTGATAATTATTTAGAAAGTATCTACGAATTTGAATTAGTTATGACAAATATAAAGACCATAGTATAAAATAAAAATAATTTTGAAATTAAGTTTGAAGTTTTGCTTTTGCAGCATAACACCTTTAAACTTCAAAAATAAAATTTTGCAAACTTTAAAATAGAGAGTTTATTAGAGATGCTCTAAAGTAAAAAGAACAGACTTATCTAAAACAAAACAAAGAACTATTAAAAACAATTTTATCATGATTATAAAAAAATTTTAATTTTAAAAAGATATTTCACGAAACTTATCTAAGCAAGATTCTATTTTGAAAATTTTGGATTATGCACTTACATTTTAATTTATTTACAGTTACATGTCACTCATTTATTTCTACATAATAAATTGAATTAACATTACCTAAAACATCTATTATATTAAAACAGAAGTCATGACTCACTTCATGTGTGATATTTTAGTTTGGACCATCTTTAGAGTTTTATTAAATTTTACATAACATTATAATATCTTTTCATATCTTTATTTTTTGTTTGAAATACAAATAAATAATTTTAAGAAAATTCTAACAAAATCTTTTAAAAATCTTTTAGAATCTTTTTCAAGATATAGTTTCAAAAATTATTTTATTAAAATTTTCATTATCATAAAATATATTATCATAAAATATAATTAAAATTTAATTCATTTTTAATTTATAAACAAAAATTTAAAATTATGTAAAATACTTTTAACAATATCCCAAAATTTTGTTTATGTATTATGTAGGTCCAACTTAATTAATTTTTACATAGATTTCAAATTTAGAAATAAAAAAAAATATATAAATTAGTAATCTTACATAATAATGTTTTTAAAAATTATTACAAAAATACAAATTTATAAATTGTATATTAATAATATTATAAGTCACATAAAAATGATTTTAAAATTGGATAGCATAAAGAATCAAAGTATACTTATTTATTGATAAATTTGATTATATAATTTCAAATATTTCGTATTAAAATACCCGCACGGTTGTGCGGGTCGAAATCTAGTTCTAACTTAAAAAAGAAATATTCCTAAATAAAATCTAACCAAATAATTCATTAGTCATAAAATCTCTCATCAACATATTTATTCATTAATTAAACAAATGGATAACAATTCACACAAGAAATAAAGATATCACGTCTTCATAAAATAAATTTTCATTAGTTATAGTTACAATATATATACACAGATGTTATTTATATATATATATATATATATATTTTTATTATATTTCATTTTACTAGTTGAATTATTTGAAACTGAAAAAATATTTACTATTTTGAATACTTCTATATTCATTCGGATTATACTTTAATTTTATAAATAAAATAATGAAAAGAGCCACCTGCATATTAATTCTGAAATAAATTTTAATAAAAATATTTAAAATATTTTGTAATATATATTGTTATATTCTTTTTTTTATAAAATTTGGAAGATACTATTGGTTAGTGGCGTTTTTAATGGTTTTTACCTCAAATTTTGATTGAATAGTAGTGGATATTATTATACATTTTGATATTTTGGGTCTTTTGTGTTCTTTATTGTTTTACAAGATATAGGGACATTTGTCAGAATTTAACGCAATTAGACAAGATTTTAGAATTTAAAGGAGTCCAGATGCAGAGATAAAGAAGAGATCGGTTGATCTGGGATAACACTGTAAGAAACATCAATTTTGCAACTACAAGAATTGTTCCAAGATAGTTGCAGATGTTGGCAATGCAACTATTTTGGGACTACAGTTAATACTTTGAAGAGCCTTGTCCCAGAAAAAATTAGTCGCAACAAAAATTAGTGGCAAAGTAGTAGCAAAAGCGTGATAGTACGTAAGACTATGTAGTCAGTGGTATATAAGCTACTGAATTGTGACTAAGGCTGCAATTTCACAAAGTTGAAGAACACACTATTAGTCTTGCATTACACGATGTAGTTGCCCTTAATTAGTCTCCATGAATTTCTCTCTAACTTTGTAACTCATCATCAAATATAATCCTTTTCTGCTTCCTTTTGTGTTTTGATTCAATCAGATACGTTCCACAGAAGGAGCATGAGAGGAAAAAGAGCAATGCAGAAGATAAAGAAGAGGATGTCTTCACGACGTAAAAGCTCTGGAGGTAATATGCACATGGAGATAGTGTATGTTAGGAAGGATACCAAGCATCACCCTCCAAAGCAGCCAGCACGGAAGCATTCTCAGGTAACAAGACTGTATAATTGAATGTAAAGTGTATGTTTGACCAATGTAGAGTATTTATACAATGTAAATCTCATGAGCCACATAGGAATAGGGATCTATTGGATTAGTCTAAATCCCTAAGATATAGGATTATAAATTGCCACAGCCACATAGTCTAGTGAAAATCAAGTATAAGCAGATGTTTACAAAGTTGTCTGAGAGAGATGAGGACTTGGAAGAAGCTGGTAATCATTGGAACAATAATCAGGGTGGTAAACAGATGCAGCGCAACAGATCAAGGAAGCGTATCATGGAATTTATTACAATGAAATGGCAGTGGTTAGCTATGAAGGAAAGAACAAAAGTCAAGGTGAAGCAAAAGCCTGTAATGTTAAGCCGCAGACTCAAGGTTAACACTCTTGATGAGCTTGGCCTCAGGGCCTGCAGTGCTCATGTTCCGTTGAAACCAGTAATAAATTTAAAAATAAAAACTAAAATCTAATTTTAAACGTGACATGGAGTATTTGAATTGCTAGAGGGTAGTGAATACTCTTTACGTACGCATAAGGTCCTTGAGAATCCATTCTTTCTTCTTATCCGCATGTATAATAAGCTCCGAAGAGATTAATGCCCATTTCAAGCCGCTTGCGTTTGTTAAGATGTAAGACGCCAGTTTCCTATTTTCAAGTGTCTCTTCGTATCCTCGCCACTCAAACGTTTTGAGATGGGGCAGTGAACATTCAGGTATGTTTACTCTTGTGTCGCAGAGACGCATATTTGGCAGAGTCGAGTGATCCTGAGAACAAAAAAATGTAAAAGAAGGCTAATTATGGTATATGGTTACGTTTAACTAATATCATGATCTGGAAACCGTGTTTAATATATTTCACTTACATGATGGTAGAGTTTGAGAGTTTGTAGCTTAGGGGAAGCTTCTATGATCCACTTGAGATAACTCGGCCAATCTCGATAACATGTCCAAAAACTTAGATGATGAAGCTGGTTAAAGATCTCAGTTGGTTTGTGCGGAACCTGCCATGTCCAAGTATACTCTCACATATATATATATATATATGAGATATCCCTTACAAATGTTGGATAAAAATGACAAAAATATACAAGTACGATAGTGGTACCTGTCCTTGAGGAGCAATCAAGCATAAAGAGAGATGTTTAACAGATGTGAGAGACCCCGGAATGTCCCGCAGATCGGTTTGTATTAAGTTATTAATATCAGCTGTTACAATTTGAGGCATCTTTTGAATGTTGCACAATCTCATAATACACGCTTCAATCCTCAAGTGCTTCAAAGACGGAGTATTCAAGCAAAAACATTGGCTTGGTGAACGTATGATGGATAAGCTTTGTAAGGAAGGAACCTCTACAGTAAAAGTTTGTGTAGCATCATGGTACTCTATTTGCAAATCTTCAAGGACAAGGCATTTGGATAAAAGTCTTGTAAAGGATTCATTATCATTGCCTTTGTACCGTATGGATAGAAGATGCAGAGTTTTGAGCGCCTTAAAGGAGTCTGGAACTAAAGTGACATCGAGGACAACATAAGAGAGATGCATGACCACTAGTGTTTCACACGTTCTTCTTGGTAAGCTCAAACGCCACAAAAACCCATAAACCACCTTTAGCTCATGCAGATTGCGGTTTGATGCAATCTCAAGGCATGACACAATATCTGTATCAGAATAATTTCGTTCAAGAGTCAGGTGCAAACTTTTAAGAACCGGAGCCTTGTGTAGTAAAAGAGATTTGTTAACAAAGTGGGAAAAGCTTTCGTATGTTTTGGTATTGAAATTGTGACAACAATACTCAAGTTTTGGCAGAAGCATCCAAAGAGAACGCCAACGTTTGGACAAAACACTTGTGATCCGGACTTTATTTGTCGGAAGATATGACAGTATCTTCAAGAGCAAATCGTCAGGTAAACTACTAACTCTGTCCATCATCTAACAAAACCCTAATAATACCTGATCAGCAAAATTACCAAATATTGAGATCAAGATGGTTTACGAAGCTAACTCACAACGTAAGCTCGAGAAGGCTTTTAACGTGTTATCTTCTGAGAAACCCTAATATGAGCACAACAATTCTCCCTTTCGAGACTTTTATGGTATTTTTCAATTCTTTTACTTACATGGTACAATAATCTATCTAGATCTGCCAGTTTTTTTTAATAGTAATTATCTCTTTACCTGTTTATATATAAATAAATATACATGTAATTTGGAAAAGGATTAGTATAGTTTGTTCACAACTAATTCCTTGATAACCAGCGTATGTAATTTTGAGAACTATCTATTTTACTAGGGGAAAATCACATTAAAAAAACCTTCTGACACTTACTAACATTTTAAATCTTGAAGTTATTTAATTAGAATATTAAACATTCAAAGTAGTTTTTGTATCATAAAACCCTTCAACTTGACTTACTTGTTCATCAAGTCAAAACTGTATCCTAGTAACTTATGATAGTAGGTGACATATTTTTATATTTTTATTTAGTTAACAAATACAATTAACAACTAATAGCAATAAGAAACATATATAAAAATTAGAACATTACAGAAAAAAATTCTAAAGTTGAATTTAATAAAAATTAAAATATTACCTTAAAATTTTGTTTTTTTTAAAATGCAATTTTTGCTAAAAAAGAATACAGTTTTTCAAAAAATCATATAAAGTTATTAAATATTCTCATAAAAGGTAAATAATATTTAACATTGTCATCATTAACATGAACACTCTTCTTCATATCATAATTAAGAGTAACATTTTTGGTTATATCGATCATGTCAATAGTATCAAAATATTTTTTTAAAAATTTTAATTTTTTTTTTAAAATGCAAGTTATACAAAAAAGAATATAGTTTTGAGAAAATCATATAAAAGTTATAAAATATTTTCAGAAAAATTAAAAGTTAAACATTATCATCATTAACATGAACACTATTCGTCATATCATAATTAAAAGTAGCATTTTTGGTTATATTGATAATGACAATAGAGTCAAAAATCATTGTTATCTGTGTAACAAAAATTATCATCGTACAAAGATGCTAACATATCAAAATTAAATGATTTAAAACTTACAAAATGTCATTATTAGTGGTGATATGACGAAAATTCTTATTTTTAATGGTAGTATATCAAAATTATTTATTCTTAAAAATAATATTTTAGAGATTTATATAATTTTTAAAAAATAAAAAATATATATTTTCACAAAATTGAATTTAAAATAAAAATAAAAAATAATTTTTAATTTTCAAGAAAATATTTTCTTTTTTAAATTTTTTTTTTTGAATTTTTCTATCTTTAAAATACTCTTTTTTTTTGCAAAAAAATGCTTTTAAAAATAAAAAAAATTTAAGAATATTTTTTATTTAATTAAAATCAAATTTTGATTTTTTGTAATTTATAATTTTTATTTATATTATTATTGTTATTTATTGTTAATTGCATTTGTTATTTAAGTAAATAAAAAAATAACACGTCATCTACTATTACAGGTTAGCAGGTCACATTTTTAATTTGATGAACAAGTAAGCCAAGTTGAAGATTTTCTATGATACAAAAGGCAAATGGAATGTTTAATATGCTAACTAAATAAATTCAAGGTTTAAAGTGTTATTGATTGCCACTTTGAAGGTTTTTCATGCTATTTTTCCATTTCACTAGTGTTACTACCCATGCTACGCATGCGTCAATTTTACCATCTATAAAATTATTTAAACATGTTATAGTTTTTGGTTAGATAAATTAATATTTTGGTTAATCATGAACCTGAATAATAGTTTTAGGAGGTAAAACAATAATTTGGATACTTATTTTATAAAAAAGAATTAAAATATATATTTCAAACTGTAAATATATATTAAACTATTTTATTTGTTATGTTATTTGACGATGGTTTTATATGCAGTATATGTACAAAAAATCAAAAGATATATATAATTTTAAGCAGTTCCAAGAGAATTTCCCACCATTTAAAATATTAATTTCAAAATTTTATTATATAGAGTAATACGTTTTGGTGCTATCAATGAATGATTTACCCCCTTAACCGTCGTTGATGTTATCTTAAGTTTTAGCGATGATTCATCAAGCCTTGAGATCGTTGAGCGGAGTTGCAGGTCTTTGTACTCTATTTCACATTTATTCTCTCCTCTATAACAAATATGTATAGAATCACTTAAAACATAATTAACAAATTTTATCAAAAAAAAAAACATAATTAACAAAAACATAGTAAAATTGATATCTATACATTAATAAGCCATAGATTACGTAGTTGTGCTTATGGTTGCACAATGGTAGTAAATATTAACATGAACGTTATATTGTTGCTGCAGAGCAATGAAACACATACTTCTTTATGATAAGGTGATGTAGCTCCTTAGTTTGATAATTCAAATACAAAGTGAAAAGTAATTAACAAAAATTTGAAGCCAAGATTGTATAATTTTTTTGTTTGTCGTAGAGAATAAAGTTGGGATGATTTGCACGTTATATTAGAGATAAAGAAACAGTTTCTGAAGATTTGATTTAACGCGGGTAAAATATTTTGAGCAGGAATATAAGTAGTTATTGATTTAGACTGCATAAAAATAAGAGATGTAAATAAAATTCATTTTTTTATTTTAAAAATAAACTTTCTGACGTACTTGCGCTTTGGTATTTAAATGATGTCGTACTGTATCTGAAATTAAATCTGGAAAAATTGGCTAAATGGGGAATATTAGGGATGGATTTATCTTCTTATACTTTTGAGACTATAACTTTCCCTATATACTTTTGACTTTTTTTAAATACAAAATTAACCTTCCCTTAATTAAGCAAATAACATAATTATTTTATTTTGAATATTAACTAGATTTTTAACCGCGCGATTTCGGTTTTATTTATATATTTATAGATATTTATTTTATGTCATTATTGGTATATATATTTTTAATTTAATTATATATTTAATATTTAATATAAATATTTCACATGCAATAATTTTATAGTTTGCATGTCGCAATTAATCACTTATTTCAAATCGTCACATCTATTTGTCGCTTCTTATTATATATTTGTCTTATTGGGTTTGCATTTGATTATTAAACGAATAAATATGAAACAACATATTTAAAATTAATTTATGTTTTTGTTATCCGCATTTCATTATTCTGAATTACCTATTAGCATTTTAATATGTTTATTCATTTTAAATAAAAATATTCTTGTATATATGTTTAAGATATGTTAATTTGTATACACGTATAATATATTTTAATGTTTTAATCCATTTTGCTAACACATTATATTCTTTTAACATAAATATTTATATTTATGAAAATAAAATAAAATAAAATAAAGTATATTAATATATCAATTTAATATAATTTTATCATGTTTATTTCAATATAATAAGCTTTTAATATGATACATAACAGATTAAAATTGAGATCTTGTTAAAATCATTTTTCGGAAAATTTGTTGGATTTTTTTTTTAAATATATATATATATATATATTTAAAATGAAAAGATATTATGATTAAAATAGTTACACACATTTTATATTATTACTCTTAAGAAAATACATTTACAAAATCCTGAGAGAAGATACAATTGAAAAATCACACATGAAAGATATCATGATTTCTATTTTACTAATATACAAGATCTCGACCCTTGAAACCGCGCGGATGTTTTTTTTTTTTTTTTCACTTCTAAATTGGTATATATTATAATATATATGAGGTGTGTATATCAATTTTTAAAAGATAATAATTTTACCATATATTATTTTTTCAGCGAATAGATTATTTCAAAATTTCACATGTACTTATATCTTCTTCTATATATATTTTTGGATTATTATTTCATTATTGAACTCGTAAATATATGTAAAGATTGCTAAAATATTGTTTCATTGTCATCTCTAAAGATATTGTAACAAAAATTAAACTTTTAGCTTCATATATGGAGTAAATGATTAAACATTTAGTTTTGTTATTAAAAAATACACTATATAATTCAAAAATTGTTTTTATTGGTTTAAGGTAGTATAGATTAATATTAATCAGTGATAGGAAATGATGATTTTTTTATTTTTAAAAATAAACTATATAATTTTAAAAAGTTAATATCGACATATATACAAAATAATTAACTTATGAAGGTATACTATTACAACATTAAATTATATCTATTTAATTTAAACATTTATCTTATTATACTATCTATAAATTAGGGATAGATGGGGCCATACCATCTATACCAGGACGCTGGTGTTCTATTGATGGTTCATGGAAAGATAAAAATGTGTTTGACGGACACGGATGGTATAGCACCCTTGAAGGTTTTGAAGGTTTATTGGGAGCTAGAAATGTTAGAGATAGCCTCTCACCTCTTTACTGTGAGGTGGAAGTGCTTATCTGGGCAATGGAGAGTATGAGGAACTTGCGTCAATACCACGTTACGTTCGCAACCGATTGTTCTCAGTTGGTGAAGATGGTTTCAGAACCAAATGAATGACCAGCTTTTGCAAATTACCTGGAAGATATCAAGACG